GCCTAGTGCATAGCAATGCTCCAAACACGTCTGTTTGTTTTCCCCCCAGTACTGCCTGGCAATGCGGATATCAACGGAGGCTTCCCCCACGAGCTCCGATGGTGATTGGATGTGGCAGGTAGGTCCCTGTGTGAATAGTTGATCCTTCAATTAAAAAGGAAAAGAGGGAACAGCTTTCACATTGTGGGATAATGCCTTATTACTGTTCTGCGCTCCTAAAAATGGAATCAGCGGAAGCTAAGAAAGACTGTGCTTGGGAAATTCTACCTGACAAACTGAGCGGAGGTGTTTCATAAAAGTTACACGAGGTTTGCTGGAGACTGTCAAGAGGTTTCCCTGAGTGATTCACTGAATTCTGTCCGCCATGCCTCCTATCAAAACTGAGCATTTCCAGGGAAGGAAATAGAACCCCACTTCAACTTTTTAAAAAAATAAACTGATTTCAAAATCAAAAGTTTGCAAAAACCAGTTCTTTCTCTAAAACCAGAGAAAAATCGGAACAGAGATCTTAGGAATATTTCGTACTAGCCCCGAGGACCAGTCAAAGCAACAAACATTTTTTATTACATAGCTAGATGAAATCCTACATTATGAGCGTTTCTATAAAAGTTGAGGTAAAAGAGATGTACAGGGAATAAAACCATGACCTTTTTGAGTCATTCACATCTTGTTTTATATTACGTTCCTAATTAACTGGTTGCCCTGTCTTGACAATTAAGTTGCTTAGAACTTATAAACTGGAGTTTCTCCATCTGAATGTTGAAATAACAGTACCTGTTTCATAGGCTGACAATAAGTGTCTGGCACATAGCTACAAATTGTAGCTATTATTGTTACTATCACTATTATTATTAGTGGTAGCGGGAAATCAAATCCTTTCTTTGCATGAGGGGAAGACTTAATTAATATTTACATCTACACCTTTAGGTACATACATTATAAAAATTCATTTACCATCTATTATCCCTTAATGTCCTTCAGGACAGCATATAAGTGTATAAAGAGATCTATAGTCAATTGGTTTCTCTACCACTCATTCCTGAGATAATGTATATGCTCAAAAAATGAAACCAAATGTTCTTTTAATGATGTTGGATTGTCCTCGGGGTGCTATGTTTAGGTCTGCAAAAATAATCCGCCCCTACAATTGTTCTGTTCTTATTGACATTATTGATACACAGCCAGGTATACATTCTCACAAAACATTATGAAAATGCTCCTGTAGGTTCCTTGACTGCTCTGTCTTTTCTGGAGACCCCAGGACCCTGGTCTAATGTAATGGTGCCCAACTCTGATACTCTCTTACTATGAGCATCTTCACATCACCAGACCCCGACGGTGGCAAAGACAGACCCTTTCACACAGGGGCAACCAAGACACCGCCTCGCCTGTGGCCTCTCTTTCGAATAGACAATCCCCCGCAGGCTGCTGTTGGTGCACTGGGTCTCTAAGAGCGAACTTTGAGCCTTCGGCAGCCCAAGAGGGGGTGCCTTTCCACCGCTTTCTCCCCCACCCCGCCTCCGTCACATGATTACGAGATGTGCTGTAAACACGCACGAGTGTGTCGTGTGACTGCATGTGCGTCTGCGTCTCACCTCAACACGATTACCACTGCATCACTGTCTCTATCTTCAGCAAACATTGATTCACTCAGCGGCGCAGTAGGCCCATCTCCTGAGGGTGAGCTCCCTGCCAGGAGCTGTGACCACAACAGCCAGGACAACAAGGCGCGCAGAACCCCAGCCCTCACCTGGGTGACGGTGCAACAGGAAACTGTTCGGTAAACGGGCTTAGGTAAAGAGAGTGCAGAGGTACAGGAAATTGTAAGTATTAATAAAGAATAAGAATTTCAGAGATAAACCAAAGAACTCATGGGCATCTATGCACAAGCAATGGACACAGACATTCATTTGGTTGGGGAAGCAGGAGGGGTGTGGAGAGGGGAAGAGGGGGTCGATGGAGGAAAAGGGGGGACATCTGTAATACTTCCAACAATAAAACAAAAAAAGAATTTCATAGTCGATATGTTTAATGTTTTCTTTCAAAAACATTCTAACTCGCTTAAAATGTTGCTAAACGTCATGCTAGACAACAAAGAAGAATTCCGCTGCAGTCGGATATTTGTGCTGACGTTAGCAAGACGGACTTGAAGTGTGAGCAAAACGCGTATTTCCAGAGGCTAAGGCCTAAGCCTCCGAAAGAGACCAGGGCTCACGAGAATCCGGATGCTCTCGAAAGAGTCATTCTAATTACACAATCGTAATCTGCACCATACAGGTCACAGATTGACTCCTCTGCTCCAGCTGATTGGTGGCTAATAGCGTTACAAAGACAGAGCCGGGGTCCTACAGAACAGAGGGTTCTTGTCCACCCCGGACCTACAAGGAGCCCTTTGCGGAGGTTTTCAAGTCCTGCCTGAAATCCCAGCTCGCAAAGAACACCTCTGCCGGAGAGAATGGCCTGCACGGGTAGCCCTCAGAGACACGGAGCGGAGCACAGCGCCGCCCTCGGCAGGCGAGGGAAGCCAGGGACGAGAATTAAGCAGGGCACCTGGAAGGAAAGCAAAGATCCAGGAGGGAACATAACGGCACCGACTCCGTGCTGAGACTCCCCCTGGCAGACTCAGACGATGAAGAACAAGTAGCATGATGTGTCATGACAAAGTCGTGACAGCGGTCCTGCCTATCAGTAAAAGATGGTCATGGAGGCTGTGGCTCCTGTCCCTGGGATTCCACACTGCCTTTCGGGGAAGTAAAGCTGGGCACCCCTTAAGATGTTGTCACCATACTGATAAGAATTATTGCCAGACTTTCATAATAGGAGCTGGTCGTTTCGATGAGAATCAACCCTGGTGGGTGTGGCTCCGTGGGCTGAGCATGGCCCGTGCACCAAAAGGTTGCCAGTTTGCTTCCTGGTCAGGGCACAGGGTGCGTGCAGGAGGCAACCATCCGATGTTTCTCTCTCTCTCTTCCTCCCTCTCTCCGAGCCTAGGATGAGAGAAGTATGTGCCGTTATGAACGCGCTGAGACAGAATACATGGGCAAAAGCAGAGACAGGTACGAACTGTTAGCTCCAATGTCATAATCAAGGAAACGGGGGTTCGTGGAATTTAGCACAATTCCCAAAGCAACACAGCTAGTACACATCAGAGATAAGATAAGATTCCACACCCATGTCTTTCAACCCTACATTAAGCTATGCATATTCTAGGGTGTCTATAAAGGGAGGTGGATGAAAAAGCTGTATGGATGCAGCGGAGTCCCAAGTTAGGAGGGATCTGAATGCCAGAATAAACAACCACCTGGACTTAATTCTCCCAGTTTTTAGGGGGAGTTGTGAAAACAGACAGAGGGACGAGATGGCCCCCGATAATCAGATGATCCCTCTCCAGACATGGACACTAAACACCACACCCTGGTACATTTGGGGAAAGTAAAGAGAGAAGCAGGGAAGAGAAGAAAAAATAATTTAGTGAAACTATCACTTTTCAAATGTCTAATTGTTTTCCCACGACAAACATTTTTAAAACTCTGCTGAGGTTAAACACTGGACGATAGAACATGACGGGAGTGTTAACAAACATCACCCAAGTCTCCCCAATTCTCATAGCTCAGTGAATATATCTTAAAACTTCTTGGAAACGCACAAAACATAATACAGAAAGATGCTCTGAAACATAGAAAGGATTTCGCTCGTCGACCTACGACTCTGAGTATAATTATAAAGTCAGCTGGGCTACCAATTGCGATGGAGGTAGGCGTTCTACTGGGTAAATCACGTCATAGCATTTAACAGCTTTCCAACGGGAATACATTGTTACCCTTTTCATGGCCACCTATGTACTAGATGCCTTTGTGGAGCAGAAAGTATGACAAGATTTTCCACTGTTGATCCAACGGACATCCGTTTGTTTTTATTAGAAAATGTGCGATCACACAGGAATAACTTCAAGAGCAGAACATCGCTCCCTCTGAGTATTGGAGCTCCCTCCACCGCCTCGAATATATCTAGTGCATCTGCCAAAAGTTTAATTAAAGTCAGATGACTGGGATAATTAATATCATAATAAACATAAGACAAACTCATAAAATGGCAGTTTCTTTTTTTTGATTCGTTTTGGCTAGAAAAGAGAGGCATTTCAGTGTTCAGGAGTGAGTTACTTAAAACGGTTTCTGTGCTGTTACAAGTCCTCCTGATGTTTGTGTGAAGGAGGAACAAAACCGATGTCACACACAAGCTTCTGCAGTTTGGAACAATGACCCTGGGCTGCGTGACGTGCAAAAGCATTTTCAGTCAACGAATCAAGCGATTTCTGCTGCGAGTTGTCACAAAAATTCTTTATAAGATTTTAGGTTAGCAAAACTTTAACTGGCTAACTTAATTCTCTAAATGATGCGAAGTGGATAATACTTAGAAATAGACACAGTCCTCTTCGAGGGGAAGCAAATACAAATCTGTGTGTGTGTGTGTGTGTGTGTGTGTGTGTGTGTATTAGGCTTATTTAAAAACAGCATGTTGAAATATTTATAAAGAATATATATATTTTTTAAATATAGGGTTCTTTCCCAGTGATCTCTGTGAAGATAAACTTACTGCATCAAAAGCATTTTGAAATACGATACGTGCATGGACTTTCCACCTCTGCTTCTCCTGGAAAGAATGACCGGCTGTCGAAAGCAGGGAGCCATTGAAAACACAATGACAGGGTCGCAAGGGCCCTCTCTGGGAACCCTCCTGAGTTCTGCCGGTCTCTCCTGGAACCCGTTCAACAATAAGGTGCAGTACACAGGAACCATCAAAAGGGAGCACTTTTGAGCCACCAAAATGGTGTGTTAGCCTAAAAGTCACAACTGCAGACAAAGATATGATCTCAGGTATTTTGTGTGCTAAAATGAGCATTAAAAAAAAAAAATCAAGCACCACACAGACGCTGCCATGTGGAAGAGGAATATGCCTGTGCTAATCATCGTTTTAACTCGAGGCTGAAAGAGTGCACTTACCATTCGGGTGCTCAGGCTCCGTCCAGGAGACGTTGAAGGAGTGGGGTGAAAAGGGGAGCGTCCTGGGGGCCGGCATGCCTTCAGGGGCGCTGTCCGGGGTCCGGGCCTCGCTGGCCTCACTCACTGCGCAGCCGCCCCCCGTACAAGCCTGAACAGAGATGGGGGTAAAAAAAAAAAGCACCTTTCACTCTGGGTCCCCAAACTTTAGAGCATCGAAGAAAGAGAATTCATAACAACAGTTTCCGAGTCTTTGAAATAAAGCTCCCTTTATCCCACAAAATAAATTTGTTTCAATGCTGAGGTTTGACATTTAATTAGTTTTCTTTTTAGGACATGACACAGCCATCTCCAACCAATAGAAAATAACCCGGAACGCAGGACTACATGAACTATAAATATGTTCTAAGTTGGAGCCCAGGGTTAGGGCATTGGGGGTGGGCCAAAGGATGTGTACAGCTGTGAGTATGCAAAACTCAGAGTTTGTTCACGTATTATTATTTATTAATGATTGTACTATTTGCCATGTGAATAGCTGTAAACCTACCTTTGCTCACCCCTGTATACTGACTAGCTGAACAGCCCTTACTAAATTAGCCTTGCACGAAGGTTCCTTGGACGAATTATACACACACACATGTGTGCACACACACACACACACGCACACGTGTGTGTGCAGCACATGAGAAAAGTACTAGTGACTAAAGACTGCTTCAGGATAAAACAAGTGATTTCTAAAATAAATTAAAAATGTGTACAGCAAATATAATTGCCTTTTATTTACTAGAGCATGACCAATATATTTAAAGTATAACCATGTAATTGAATAAAACAATACTTTTCATAAATCAACAACAAAGAGGTTGTTCAGCGCCTGCTTAATGCCTAAAAGGGTCAAATCATTAGCCCAAAGGAAATGAGCTTTGTTGAATGACTGACAAACTTAAAAGGGTCACAGAAGTCCCCATTCAGCAATGAAAACACAGGTGTTCAAGGTATTTGGAAACTTGTGTGTACACTTTCATAGTAAATCGCAAATAATTTTTTCCTCCCCAAGAATGTGTCAATGTATCAGGAAAATACCTTCACGCCCTGAGTTGCTGGAGAAGCATTTCTGCAGGGAATTAAGACACACACATAGGCTATTTCTAGACAAAATGTACTAGCAAATATGAGCAATGATGTCTTTACGTAAGTAACAGCGACACTTGAAAACTGCACGTATGCTTGGCTTGGCATGTCTCTCGGTTACAACTGTAATTTGAACAATGACATCGAAAAATCTTCCCAAATGCACTGAACTCTACCCAATCAGTAAGAAAATGAGGCAACATCATAGGACAATGTAAAAAGGAGACAGTTATTTAGTCCATTTTCCTGAAAGGTAGACATCACTAATATAAACAATTAAAATACCTCTGTGTTCCTTGGGCCCATCCCTGCTCTTGAGTGTGATAATGAGGGAACGACCTTTTGATACTTAAAGCAGCCAATATTCTTTTCCCTAAAGAGAGGGGAAAGCTGACTGATTTTTTAAAGATTTTTTTTTTAACTGAAGTTTAATATTTGCAAAATTATTGCAAAGAATTCACTCCAGGTATAAATAACCATATATGGTCAATCGACATGGGGATCAATCTCACTTGCTGTTGTAAAAATACAATAGGAAGCCATGTTCTCAGGATAATTTCTCAGCAGCATAAGCAAGGTTCAGATGGGTTAAATCGTGGCCTGGGCATGAAATTGCATTAAGATTGGGGACCTAATTAACCTCTGTGGGTTTCCTCTAATTCTCAGCTGTGGCGTGTGCATATATATGTAAGAGAGAAACCATCCTCCTCCTGAGAACAGATTCTTTGCAAATAAAGAATGATCAATTGAGATTGTGACCAAACCGTGACTCAAAGAGCTAGGACATGTCACTCTGAGCCCAAGAATAACTGTCTGGACATTTCAATAGAAAAATTAAAACGTTTCCAATGTGGTAAACATTCAACAGAAAACAAGGCAGGGAAAGAGGCCAGGAGGGAGAGCTGAGTTATCACAGGAAAGCTGTCAAAGGAACCTTCTTTCCAGTCCTCACATGGAGATAAATCCGCCCTTTGCATTTCCTAGATTTTTGCCTTGGGAGGGGAAACAATGTTGCAGCATCTTCTTGTTAAACTCTTAACACAATGGGATTTAATTCTGATAGTCTACTTATCATTATTCTTTTTCTCATCATAACCTGACTTTCCCCTGCTAACTCTCCTCAAAGAAATACTGGGCTGTGTGACATGCAAGTATATATTTTCAAAAGCAGAATGTGAATTAAAATTTACTTTGTTTTGAGAATTTTATGATGCCTTCTGGACTAAATAAAGACATCCTCTGGTTTGGAAGGACTGTTCTTTGGGTCGCTACAGAAGACCCATAAACAAGTAAGGTGACAAAGAATTTCTTACGGATCTGCAGAGATCATGAGATAATCCTTTTTATAAATGAAAGAGTTTATACAGTGGCTGCTGAAATAACAGAATTACCTGCAAAGTGTTTTGTTTTGTTTTCCGCATCCTTTCTGCATGCGGTGTCAAGAGAGCAGTACAACATCTTAGTTCCATCAATAAGAAAATACATATTCTTAAGGTTGCATCCCAATTGATCTAACTGATATCATCTAAATGAAATTGAACCAATCAGTATCTTGTTTGACCTGCTAGCACCAGAGGCCACACTCTTCAATGCAACTGAATGCTTATTAAAATTCTGGTTTGGAAAATCTAAACAAAATAGTGGGACTGATTAAAGATGGCTTTATGAAATGGCAAAGCCTGTGAAAACCTCTGAGCCACTGAAATAAGGTGGCCTCGTCGCTCTCCTATACCTCTTATCAATTATGGCCATTTAAGAAAATGCCAAGTCATCATACTACCCTAGCATGACGAGTAAGTTCTGACCAAATAGGGGATTCAATTTTGGTCTAATAAAATGCCTAACTAATGAAAGGGTATCAATTATTTTTGAAATCATGCCTATTAGAAACATGAAAAACCAGCATCCTCTTTCTAATCATTTGTTTTCAGATAAGTAGGGTCTAAGGTTGTTAAGAAGGCAGCCTATTTTAAAGTATGAAGAAAAAGAGCAAGGCCAACTTATCTATAAATGACCTTTAGAAAAGGTCATTTCCAAAAATCCTTCCATAAAATGTATTAAACACTCAATATTCATCAAGATGCAAATGTTTAGGCCTGGCCGGTGTGGCTCATTTGGCTGAGTGCCATCCTCTGCACCAAGAGGCCGCTGGTTTGATTCCAGGTCAGGGCACATGCCCAGGTTGTGGGTTCGGTCCCCAGTCGGGGTGCAGGAGGCAACCAATAGATGCTTCTCTTTCTCTTCCCCTCCCTACAATCAATAAAAACATATTTTAAAAAAGAGTCCAATGTCTACCAGTACTATGAAAATTATCAGACCATACATATCTTGATACTTTTCTATCTTACTATGTTCTTTATTTAATTGCTGACATTCTTTGAATTAGCTACTACCACACTTCACAATAACATTTATTGACAGTAACAAAACTTGACGCAGTTTCTTCTAGTGGAAAGAACATAGGTTTGAAATCACACGGTTCCCAACTCTGAAGTTTTACAGCAAATTAATGAATGGATATCGAAAGTCTCAGATTCTTTATGAAATAAATAAACTTGGTGTTCATTCAGACAAGAATCATTTGCTGAGCTTCCAAGTTTCCACCAGGTACAGTGGTTGACTCTGCAGACAGAAGTTTGAAAGAGTCTCTACCCTTCAAATTTATAATCCAGTCAACAAGGGAAAGTTACATGAAGCCACATGGAGTAACATACTTGCCCCGAGTCTAGACTAAATCGCAGTGTTCCGATCCCCATGTATTTTCCCTCTATTCTAACCCCTGCTTGAAGGCTTTGCTCTCTGCAGCTTCGTTTCCAGCACTTGGTCCACAGGCTAAGACGGTCTCTAAAGGCCGCTCACTTGGCTGAGAACCTGATCTCCATCTACTAATCTAATGACCTTCAAAGCCAGTTCTTACGTTGAAACTGTGAAATACATGATAATCCTTCAATTAACCAAGATGAACCTAAATATTCTGGTTCATTTAATTTACTGATTAACAAAGTGAAGTAGGAAAAAAAAACCAAAAAAAACCTTTTAGTTGAATACATCCTGAACATATATTAGTGTATTTTTTGTCCTGATACAGTGAAATAAAAAATACTGTGAGTTCCCTGGCTGGTTTGGCTCAGTGGTCAGAGTGCAGCCCATGGACCACAGGGTCTAGGGTTCGATTCCCAGTCAAGGGCATGGATCTGTATTGCAGGTTTGATCCCCTGTCTCAGTCAGGGTCTTGCAAGAGGCAACCAATCAAGGTGTCTCTCTCACATTGATGTCTCCCTCTCTCCCTCCTTCCCTTCTTTCCTTCCACTCTAAAAATCAATGGAGAAATATCCTCAGGTGAGGATTAACTAAAAATAAAAATAATGTGAGCACATCTACTTCCCTAACAAGAGTGAGGGCAAGACGTCCATATCTTCTGACATCTCGGATCGCATTATTCAGTGGCTGACAAAGCTCGTTTGACTCCATGCAATATTGTTTGGGGTCACCTCTTTAGCATGGTAGACTTTCAGAGCTTAAAGAGACATTAAAAAGCATTTAATTCAAAACCCTAATTTTAGGCTTGAAAAGCACACAACCCAGTGCAGTTAAGTAAATTTGCCTGAGGCCACACAGTTGGTGGCGAAATCTGAATGGAAACTCAGGGGAGAGAAATCACAATGGTGTTTATTTTTCAAGGTATTACAGATTCATGAAACATGAGAGATTAAGGTGGATTTTCACGGACTGCACAGCCGATCCTAAAAATTGCCCTGAGAGTAGACCTGCCTCATCATTTGCCTCCTTCTGATAAAGACCAAGTACATGACAATTTCTGTTTAATTCTGGTTGCTTTTAAGCAATAGAGAATGTTCCAGATTTCGATATTACTACTGTTTTGAAAATAGTGTGGATTTGTATATTAGCTTTTTTTCCCCACCCGTTATTGATTTTTAGAGAGAGAAGAAGGAAGAGGGAGAGAAAGATAGAAACATTGATAAGAGAGAACTTCGATTGGCTGCCTCCTGCATGCCCCAAACTGGGGATCGGGCCCACAACCTGGGCATGTGCCCTGACCGGGAATTGAACCCAGGACCTCTTAGTGCATGGGTCAATGCTCAACCACTGAGCCACACCGGCCGGGCTATATTAGCTTTTGAAAATCAAGTTAATATACTTCTACATCTTGAGTAATAAACTAAGTAATCGGAACCTCAGTTCAGAAACCCACCTGCGTGCGGATCACCTAGGCACAGGGACTGGGTTCTGACCGGGCTTGTTAATGGTGCCTGATTGCCCTTGTTGGATGGTGTCAGGTCAGATTCCTGGCAATAGTTGAATGGAGTTTATTTTCTCGTGGTATAATATTTAGAGCATTCAAGAGCATGTTAAGTAAAATGAATGCATACACAGTGTCTACATAAATGTAAATTTATTCATAATCAAGAGCAGAATATTTTCTATGGCATTTATCAAAGCAAATATCCTTATATAGGTATTGCTATAAAATGAAGAGTGTGTTTAAAACAAATAGGGACAATCTCATGTTTATATTCAGTTATTTTCAGAGGTGCTATTAAACTTAAAAAAGATTATATTTCATCAAAAAACAAAAGGAATAAATTCCACAGTAATATCAAGGTCTTTTAAAAGACCTTTGTATAAAAGTGCAATTTTGCATGGAAAAAAAAAAAAGGGCTATTGTCTGTCTAAAGAAATCTCTAAACCATGTTGGTTCTAGGGTTTTATTAAGTGATTTTCCTTTTAAGATAGAAGTGTAATGTAAACCAGAATACAATAATGATCAAGAATATCTGGGGGGTCATTGAAACCCTCATTAAAAAAAATAACACCTACGTTTTCATACCATGCATTGTTTTTCAAATGAATACCAAATTATGATATTCTGCAAATAATAATAAAAAAAATACTTTCTAATAATCCTAAATTAGATTTAGGAAAACCTTCTGACTCAGAGGGTTAGTCTATCATTTTGCATAATACAAAGTAAGTGTTAGGTCCACATACTCCACATTGAGGAAGTGTGAGCAGTAATCCGCGAGGACTTGTATTTTTGTTCCAGTTTTCTAAAGTGACGCAGGGAGAGATGGGGAAGGAAAGGGAAGAGGCTGCAGGTGGAGAAGTGATCGAAGCGAAGTGAACTTACCCCCAGCTTGAGGAGATAGTTAGCACCAGGCCAAAGGTCCCGTAGCGTGTGGTCCTGAGACAGCTCCGTACTGTTGTAGATGACATCCCAAACCCTAAACCCACGTATGTGGCTGGAAACATACAACACGTAGTGCTCCAGAATGCCGTTTAACGTTCTCGGTTGTTCCCACCTAGGCATGGAAAAATATAGCGTTGGGATCGTCACTCATTCAAGTCAAGCCTGATGCGCACAACTTTTCTAGGACACACGTGATCTGGGAGGTATGCACAGTAAAAATACACACAGAGAGCTAGAAGGGATCCACTGAAAAAGAAAAACACACAAAACCAAGTAGTTATTAAATGTCTATTCTTTAAAAATAATTTTTTTTCCTTTATTGATTTCAGAGAGAGAAAGTGAGAGGGAGAGAGAGAGAGACACATCGATGAGAGAGAACATCGAATGGCCGCCTCCTGCACACCCCCCACTGGGGATCAGGCCCACATCCTGGGCATGTGCCCTGATCGGGATTCGAACTGGCGACCTCTTGGTGCAGGGTTGATGCTCAACCGCTGAGCCACACTGGCCAAACTAAATGTCTATTCTTCATGGTATAAAGAAAATAAGATGTAGTGCCTGCTCTCTAGTTACTTATAATTTTAATAAGCTAATAATATAAAAAATGTATGAGTGAGTACTTGATTTTGAACTGAAGCCTTAGAACAAAAATTGGGGGAAGTAAAACATCTGAGCACTTATGGGAAATGGGAGGGTAGAATAACATAATGGTCTAGAAAAAGGCATTGACTGAGCAGTTAATATGCAACCACAGAATACAGGGACGTTGTGATTTGAAAGGGGCTGATGTAGAGAAGACTTCTCTAGTGAGGTGACACATGACCTAAACACATGACTGTGTACCTGACAGGTGAGTGGGATTTGGTAGGAAAAGTACAGTGTATTCCACACGAGGACCACAATGTATCAGTGAGAATGAACTGTGCAGGTCGTGGAATAGACAGAAATTGGTAAATTGAGAAATACGTAGAGTAGTGGGAAATCTTTGGGGGTAAAAAATGTGGGGCTGGTTTAGAAGCGAAAGGAAAGCCAATGAGAATTCATGGTTCCTAAACCATGGGAAATGAAGACTGTTTTGCAGCTTGAATGAGTATCTTGGTTTATTTATTCCAAACTCTTCTTTCATAGGTAAAAAAAACTGAGACCGCCCGGCCGGCGTGGCTCAGTGGTTGAGCACTGACCTATGCACTAAGAGGTCGCCAGTTTGATTCCCGGTCAAGGAACCTGCCCAGGTTGTGGGTCCGATCCCCAGTGGGGGGCATGCAGGAGGTGGCCAGTTGATGTTCTCTCTCATCAACATTTCTATCTCTCCCTCTCTTTTCCCCACTCTCTAAAATCAATAAAGAAAAAAAAAAAAAAACAATAAAAAAAGAAAAAGAAAACTGAGACCAAGAGAGATTAATGTAAACAAGTAGTGATTGGTGGTAAGAGAGGTTTAATTCAGGACTTCCATATACCTGTATTAGGACATGGATAAAAATCACCAATTTAAAAAATAATCTGAACATGCCTGTGTGTGAATGTTCCTTTGTGAACTCAACCGCAAAGGAACATGAAGGCCCTAGTTCATCCTCAAAATGAAAACGTGTGTTTAAACTCTCCATGTCCAAATTATCACAAATAATCTTGCATCTAAAACGTCCAAGGCAGCCATGTCAGTGGTCAGTTTTCCCCACACTGGGGTCTGCATGGAGTCTGTGCACATACCTAGCTCTGTCTCACTGCACAAAGACAAAGTGGAAATTAAGTTGGCAAGTGATAATCAAAGGCTCCCAGACCACTGAACTAATCACTCCTGTGCATTTAATCACAATAAAATTAATTCTATGTCACAAACTCTTCCCTTGATTGAACTCGCTGGGATTCTTGCATGAGCCTGTGTGACAGAGACAATATTTCTACTTACTGTACGTATATCGTCCTGGAGTCCAGGACGGTCAGAACTGGGGGTTCCACGTGTTCTGGTGGCAGCTGGGCTGTGCACAGTGTGACCAGGGAGCTGTTTGCACACCCCACATGGGTGCACGCACCAAGGAGAAACAGGTAGGGTGTAAACACCGTTAAATCTAGGGGGTGGGGGAAACAAGAACATATTTACAATCCTACTTTTCATGCCGGGGTCTCCCTCCTCCTCCACATTCCTCCTTCTTAGAACTGTTCAAGGAAGGCTTAAAATGAGAATCAATAGCCATCAAAATCAATACCAATAGAGCAGAGTCTCTTTCATCCCTTAAATATACTACGCTCATTTTTTTTAAACAGACAAGTGTCAGTCAAACTCTTTGCTTAACTTTCTCATTTTAACAGTGTGACTGTTTTCTTGGATGTTCCTGGCCAGGTAAATCCGTTTCTGAATTTCAAGTTCATTGGATGGCTCTGTTAAAAACTAAATGAGGCATTTAAATGATTTCTAAAGCATATTTGAAGACAGCAAGAGTTGCTTTTGAAAGGCAGATATAGAGCTTGTAACAATGACTTGGAGCTTGTGATTCCTTTTCCCTGAATCCCTTCCTTCTCTTCTCCACCTGAGTAACCATCCTTTGACCTTCAAGCTGTCCAGGCTCATTGCGAAGGCCTGTTTCTTTAAGGTGTCCCGAACACATCCTGCCGTGACCTCTGGCACCAGGTGGAGCTATTATCCTCTCCTTTCCCTCCAAGGTGTTTGCACACACCTTTAGCATAGCGCTTACAGCACGGACATAATGATTTGTTTACCTGACTACATGTTCTATCCATCACAGTGAACTCTGCCGAGGAAGGGGGGGTGCTAGATGCTTTTCGCACCCTCAGTATTGAACACAATGCCTGGCACACGGCAGGTTTCCAATACATGCATTAGAACAAACACATCTGTAATTTACCAATGCAATTCTGAAATAGCCTCAGTACCTCTTTTGCAAAGGTACTTGATTATTATTTTGTTGAATGAATCTAACCAGAGTTTTGTTGACCTTACCAAGATTTAAGCAGCAGTCCTATGTCTATACTTGTCTATATTTCTCAAAATAATTCTCAAACATAAGTACTTCATAAAATTAAAAATGAAAATAAGCCCTGGCCGGTTTGGCTCAGCGGTTAGAGCGTCGGCCTGCGGTCCTGAGAGACCTGGGTTCGGTTCCCGCTAAGGGCATGTACCTCGGTTGCAGTTTGTCCCCGGCCCTGGTCGGTCATGCGGGTGGCAGCCACTCAATGTGTCCCTTTCACATCGATGTTTCTCTCTCTCTCTCTGTTCCTCTCTCTCCCTCCCACTCTATCTGAACAAAAAATGGAAAAATGTCCTCGGGTGAGGATAAAAAAAAATAAAATAAAATAATAAAAATGAAAATAAACATATATAGGATAGAGGTATGCCGAAATGTTAACAGTGGTTCTCTGAGAGTGAGGGCACATAAGTATTTGAATGTTCTTATTACATCTATTTTCAAACTTTTTGAGATGCAAGTATATCGCAGATGGAGAAAAGACAGCCAGAGTTTACCAATATCCATTCATTATTTAAGAAAATGTATGCCTAAGACCCCGTTGATACCTATTACATCTCCTGTCCTCAGTGACCTCCTCAATGACCTCAGCATTGGCTCAGTCTTCTTTCCAATCATCACGCCTTTTTGTTTTGTTTTGTTTTGGGCAACTCCAACATCCTGTCATGACTCATCCCCGAGCCTGGCTTCCCTTTCATTACCTTCCTCAAATGTGATGCTCTTCATCTCTACTGCATTCCCTCAGCCTTCAGCACAGTGATACCCACAACTCGATCATCTCTGGAACCACTTCCAAGGTCCTGGATTTAAAATCCACCCTCTCTGACCACAGAGGGTGTCCTCCCACCTCTTCCGTTTGTCACGTTGATGCCATCACCCCTTTTCTACCACACGTGTCCAGTCTCTGATGTCCAGAGTACTCACAGCATCAGTGTTATCCTGGTCGTGGTCTGTGGTCACTCACTTCAAAGCTACCTTCTCCAGTTTTCTAGAATACTTTGCCCCCCACCACCCCCCCACTGCTCTTCTATGTCTCTACCTCAATCGCCAGCTTGTATCTGTCAGATGTGACTGAGAGACAAGGCTGAATGGACTTGCTGAAGAATCTACTATTATTTTACATTGTCCGGTTGGAACTGCGCACTCCTCAGCGGTAACTCTCATCCTCTTGTTTCTCCCTCCATAGTACTGATCTTTTTGTTTGTTTTATCTCCTCCTGTCATTTGCCCAGTTCTCTGGAGGAACTGAGTGAGGTCACAAATCAAAGTCCTCAGGGGTCTGGCTCTCTCTGAATCCCTAGAATGTTTGGTGTCTGTGCCACGGGGTCAAGATCAGTGTGGTGTCATCAACATCAGTAGGTGTCTTTCCCTTCTACTCTTCCCTGCTCTGTCCCCATCTCTTTCCCTCATTTAAATTCTCCACCAAATGTCCCTCAATTACATTACAAAGTCAGAATCTACTTATAAAATAGGTGTGGATGTGACTGGTCAGACAGTAGAAAACGCAAGGGAACCCTCTGGACAGAGGACTGGGGAAATGGAGAGGATTTGGGGTTCAGATTTAATGTTTAAGAGAAACAAAAAGGGCACAGACCCTCTTCTCCTCATCAGATTTCCCAGACTGATAGAAGGAAGGAAGGAAGGGAGGGAGGGAGGGAGGGAGGGAGGGAGGGAGGGAGGACACAGACATGATTAGAATGGAAGAAAGAGGAGCCCTGATACCTGTTTCCAAGGTAGAGTCCCAGGCAGTAGGCAGACCCAGCAAAAGACAGACCTTGGTGTGTGCAGGGCCACAGAAAACTGCAGAGTTCAGTTTCCCTAGTGTGAGATGGGAGCAATGAAGGGATCTACTGGATCTGAGGGGGTGATCTCAGTAGTGATCCCTTGCGTAGAGGATGAAGTGTCATGGATGGCCACACTCCAAATATCAAGACACCATCGAAGACCCTGTAGCTTCTCCACCTTCAGGGGACGGGAGAGACGTTCTGAGAGTGACTCAGGAGGGACGTCAGATATTAAGTCTAGTTATAGGATAGATACCGATACTCGTAGACCTAGAGATGTAGGTATATGCCTTATGGACTGAGATTTATAAGTGCTTCACGCTCACCATGCACTTTTTCACGCTCATGATGACTGCAGCCAGGTTTTCAAACCCATGCAGAATTCACATTTTCTTCCAGTTTGATTTTTAAAAATAAACTAACTCACGAAAATCCCTTATCTCTGGTTTAGGAGATCTGACGCAATAGCAATGGAAGGTTTTCTTTGGATTCTGAGAATTTGAAGACTCAATGTACAATGACTCAGTGGTACGAAGAAAGGCAGCCTGATGAAATTGTTTTCCTGAGTTCCGAGTCATTTTCACGCTCTGCCCGCCCCAAAGTGGGTTCTTCTTCACGCATTTCCACACGGAGATGAAGTGTCCCGCGTGGCCTTTGGACAAGGAGGCACAGAATAAAGAAGGGGCTAGAACCTAACATGATGCATGTTAGAGGCAGCTGCCCAGGCGGCCGGACTGGGGAGTCCTCAGTGAAATGGGAGGTGATGGTGAGGAAGGGAGAAAAGAAAACCGGGTAAGAAAAGAGGGGTTGGCATCAGGTCGGGGGAAAGGGCAGTTATGTGGAAAAGGACCCATGGAATGATTTAAAAAAAAAATAGTTAATTTAAAAAAGTGAGTTCCAGCAGAAGCAGAACTCAGACATTCTTTGGGGGCGAAACCCTAAGCAAAACCACCCATTTCAAATGTGAAGCCAAGAGGAATATAACAACTTTCTCCTCCTTTCCTAACTGCAACTGATTTAGTGATATGACCTCCCAGAGGTGAGTAGGCCCTTCCAAGGCAATGCAATGGATCAGTGGATTCAAGAAATCACAGGTGTGTACACAGATTGGAGTGGAGTCGGGGTGGGGGAACCCTAAAAACACAAGGCCCCCGTGCGTCAGAACCCCTGGGCAACACCATCTTGTTTTCCATTTGCCTGATGCATTGCTTGCGTAAGATCAAACCCAGAGTGGAGGACAGGGAGAAACGGATCACTCTGACACGCATTAGGAATGGATCCTCAGGCATTATCCTGAGACACGTTACACAGAAATGCACCCCCGCGCACGGAAACCTCACCGATTACTGTCAGGCAAACTATAATTTACAATACTGGCCATGAATTATATGCTCTTTTACGATTGATTTCATGCTGTTGTTCAGAGAATTTCATTGATCTCAATTTACGAAATGAACCAATAAGTAGGCAATGATTTTCTTTTAACTCCTGGTGTAAACTGAGAAATTTATATCTTCTTATTGGTGTCTCCCATTAGAAAATTAAAAGGCAGCTCTTGCTTCTTTATTACCTAGTGCATGTGATCAAGGTGTTTTTCTAACAACGTCCAAATAAAAAACAGTTTCTTCCCGATTCTGTTCTCTCCTCTCTGGACATCCTTCCCACGAGTCATCACCTGGATGTTGAAAATATGTTGGGAACAATGTAGGTCACTACTGGCCACATCTCCTCTGTCATTGGAATTCCGATGTGAGAACCACTTCTAGGTTATGGTTCAGTGAGAACATAACTTAGGTGGTCGACCTAGGAGGTGGTGTGTTTTCCACAGATGTCTGGAGAACAGTGAGCTCTGCTTAAAAAATTTATATTGCTTACAATATAAAATGGAAAATGATTTGAGAAGAATATCTACAAAATTACAAATTATAGCGAATCTCCTATGACGGGGACTGAACGCCTACTTATAAAAAGAACTAATTTTTGGAGCTCAAGTTTCACTGGTTAACAAATTACATTGAGTAGCCTAGCACCACACTACTTAGATAAATAAAATTGACGATGATGTATTAGCATTCATAGTTGACTATTAACTCTCCATACACTCACATTTCCTAGGAATTCTACTGGTGCTGAATTTGAGAGATGTCCACTCAAAAGTTTGTGGAAGTTCAGTTGGCACTCAAGGTATGTAGCTTTATGGAAAACGTTTCTTCGATTTATACTTTGAAAACCAAGCTTTACTTTATAGCAGTGATTCAGTGAGGGGGAAATCTCTTAATATTATCTATATAGTCTTTTTGAC